TATGAGTTAGGGCGGTTCGCAAGTGTTCCGAACTCAGGGGGTAAGTTTCTAAAGAAACTGTGGTGCTGCGTCGGTGGGGGTAACAAGGTAATTTGGTTTTGTCAACTAAGTTTATAATGTAAATTGTCCACCGTAAAGAGTTTAAAAGCTGACGTTTCGAGCGGTAGCCCTTCGTCATTCGCTCTGACGAACGGCTAACGCTCGAAACGTCAACTTTTAAACTCTAATGGTGGACAATTTATATTATCAACTCGGTTGATAAAACCTAATTACCTTGTTCCGAACTCCGTTTTTTTCTTTCCAAGTTCCTTTCGAAGTTGTAACTGAACTGTTTATTGCACTGAAACTTGTCTGCATTTTAATTATTTTCTTACGTTCTTTCCCTCACAGGATTGCAAACGTTTTTGTGCAAACATTAGGGAAAGCATGGCAGAAATGAAAGCTTTGTTCGATGACTAAACCCTCAAAATCTATAAACAGAGGTTTCGATCAGTTTCTCTGGATGCTTCTGTACTTAGCCAAGTAACTTTTCTAACTAGCTTTCGCTCCTTTTGAGTTTCCTATGTTCAGCTGACACGCCTCACCTTTCCATCCCTATGAGAAATAGGATGTAGGGCCCCTCCTCCAAACTGGTCTCCGTGTTTGGCTACCTCATGCCCAGCTAACACTTATGATAATGAGAAAATGATCTGATTCTTTTGGGAAAAAAAGTTTACTGGTCTTTTCAACAGAACAAATCTCAAGCGGCCCATGGTCTGTCTATTACCGAAATATTGTGTGGGTCAAATCCCCCCTCCAAAGCTCTTAAATGCGTCCTTTTTTTTTTTGAAACAGCTCGCTGAAAATGTCAGCTGTACGTAGGATATTCTGACACGAGTTCATCTAAAAGTAAGTAGGAGTGAATTTAATACACAAGAATGCGATGTTGCACATATTTTCATTAACGAAACGCGGGATGCTTCTTCAGCTTCATTTAGTATCAAAGAATTGGACTAAATATTTTTTACAACACATATATTTGATACTGTGTTCACTAGCATCTTTATGGGTCTGTGGAGTGAAAATGTTAACTCATTATTCAAAGAACGTTTTCATTCACGTGACAAGCGGCCATATTTGTGTCCTCAGACGAAAGAGGATTTACAACCGCATGGGCTGACTTGAGGTCACGTGATAGCGACAGAGAGTGTTCATTCTTCGGGTTGTTACACAACGTATCCATCTTTTTTTTTTTGTGCGACGTATTGATCCCTTCGCTGCGTTGTATTGCAACCCAAGTAGCTCTCATCAAACAGACCACTTTAGGTTAGAATTTCATAAATGATTCTAGCAACACCCATATAATCTTTTGGATATATTTTAGGTAAAGTTAACGCATGGTATACGCGGTAGTTAAGAATGATATTGACGTTCGTAACAAATTAAGTTGACTTAGTTTTAAAGGATGAAGGTGAATGGTGACGTGAATGAAACACAGGCAAATCGCAAGTGAAAGAGTTCTCTAATTGGCATAATTGCGTTTTTCACATCATGATACACGACAAAATTATAGTGTATAGGAAGGACTAGACTGAACAAATGGCGTAAGCGAGAAGAGGTACGCGAGTAAGGAAGAGAGAGCGTGTGAAGAAAGTCTAGGAGATGAACTTTGATGTTGAGAAAAGTGCCAGGTTGGAGCTGCCTACAGATATACTGCACTGTATTTGTGAGGTATGTGACTGCCACGTAAAAAGCTAGGAGAAGCGGATAGCGCGTTTCTACGTAATTTTGTGAACTTTACAGAAAACCACTTTACAGGCACACGTAAATTTTAAAATTAATTCAAGAGTGAGGTTTTAGTATTAGTGTAGAGAATATTTCCTTAATAAAATGTAATTATCAAGAAGATCGTGTGGCTTTTGTTTTTGTCTTCTATAATTGTTTTATCATTATTCATTTTTGTTTTGAGTGATCTCACTCACCCTCAGCAGAGATCCTTTTTGACGATCCAGCCGCTAAGGAGTCAAAAGACCCTCCCCCTCCCCCTTCGCCTTTTCACCTTGCTTCATCTGTTTGTGGGGTGATGATGCTGTTTATTCAAAGGATAGAACATAACGGATTACTCATTCTGATCAATAGGTCTACCCCAATAAAATTCTGTGGAGAACAAAGATACCAACAGAAACGAACGTAAAAGCAAGTTGCATTTGCGCTTGTACTTGCATTGCGCGGGCTAAGCAGTCTTGATGTGCTTCTATCTACCCTTGCCCCGCAGCCTGCTAGGCAGTTCGATGAGACCTGTAGTATAAGGTGCCTGCGACGAACGGGTCTCGTGCAGGTATCGCGCTATGCTAATGATACAAGAAAATACTCGTGTGAACTACCCTAGCGTAGCTGAAAATGCGTCGATTTAAATACTTTGAAGTTCTCCTAGATCAACTTGAGTAATTCTCCTACGACCAGACGACATTTTGAATTATGTGGATAACTCGACGTACTAAGGCGAAATTTCGGTGTTGTTCGTGCCACCCTTACATATTCGAACAGAAGAAAGTAGCATGACTTTAGGGACAGAAACAAACCTGGTAAGGGAGGCTGGGGATGAACGGTTTAATCCAAGTTTAAAGCATGAAGTAGTTGTCTAATTCTAACAGATCAGGAAATGGAGTGCGTGGGTGAGCAAGTGTATTTTCCTTTCATACCAAAGCATACCATGAGGTACAAAATAAATTAAAGTCAACTCAGCATCTCGGCCTGAAACGCGTTTCTCGATCAAAAATACAAATTGAACATTTTGTGAGAAAAAAAAACTTACGCCAACGTGAGGTGGAGATTGTAAATATTGCAAGTGCCGTAAAATTGATGAGATAGAATAAATATATGAAGTTCATATATTTTGAACTGCGGTATTAGATACGTATGATGCACGATCCTCGCAGTAGATAGCGCTATTTATGCAATAGCGAAAATCAGACCTGAAAAAAATCAGGCCTGTACGGGACTCGAACCACTGACCTCTGCGATACTAGTGCAGCGCTCTACCAATTGAGCTAACAAGCCAACTGGGAGCAGGCCGTTAAGTTGATTCGTAATAAACCCGTGAAAGTGATAAATGAGATAGAATAAATATATGAAGTTCATATATTTTGAACTGCGGTATTAGATACGTATGATGCACGATCCTCGCAGTAGATAGCGCTATTTATGCAATAGCGAAAATCAGACCTGAAAAAAATCAGGCCTGTACGGGACTCGAACCACTGACCTCTGCGATACTAGTGCAGCGCTCTACCAATTGAGCTAACAAGCCAACTGGGAGCAGGCCGTTAAGTTGATTCGTAATAAACCCGTGAAAGTGATAAATGAGATACAATGAATATATGAAGTTCATATATTTTGAACTGCGGTATTAGATACGTATGATGCACGATCCTCGCAGTAGATAGCGCTATTTATGCAATAGCGAAAATCAGACCTGAAAAAAATCAGGCCTGTACGGGACTCGAACCACTGACCTCTGCGATACTAGTGCAGCGCTCTACCAATTGAGCTAACAAGCCAACTGGGAGCAGGCCGTTAAGTTGATTCGTAATAAACCCGTGAAAGTGATAAATGAGATAGAATAAATATATGAAGTTCATATATTTTGAACTGCGGTATTAGATACGTATGATGCACGATCCTCGCAGTAGATAGCGCTATTTATGCAATAGCGAAAATCAGACCTGAAAAAAATCAGGCCTGTACGGGACTCGAACCACTGACCTCTGCGATACTAGTGCAGCGCTCTACCAATTGAGCTAACAAGCCAACTGGGAGCAGGCCGTTAAGTTGATTCGTAATAAACCCGTGAAAGTGATAAATGAGATCCCGCATTTTCCACCAGACTCCGTGTTTTCTACACCCCCCTGCTTTCCACACCCCGGGACCCCGAACCCCGGCTAGGCCTTTATAGATTATGCTAGCATAATTTTTGCCATAATTTGAGCAAACTGGCATAATTTCTGCCAAGTAGCAATGCTAGCATAATTCGCATATTTTGATAATTATCTGATCATTTTTGATGCTACAATTTGATCATTGTTCATCTCTTCTCCCAAGCGCTTGGCGACGTTATTCGATGTTTTAAATTTTAGTTCAAGTAGTAGCATTTGTAGTTCACTATGAATCACTTAGCGGCGTCTGAAACGGTCTGAGCCCGGGTCTGGGGTGCTCCGGAACCGGAAGTCACATTGTGGGCCATGTATAGTCTACTAATGTGCATGTTAACATGAACCACATGTTTATTTGAATTTCATTGTGGATTAGTTGTGTTTCTTTCTTGTAGACCAACGGTTTCTAATTAAAAAATGTATTTTTTGGACTTATTTGCAATTTTTTCAAAGAGCATAATTTTAAAAAAAGGGGCATACTTTGGAAAAAAGAGCATAATTTTAGCATAATTTCGCCAAAAAAAAGAAATGCTACTAGCATAATATGCTACTTTTACTAGCATAATCTATAGAGGCCTGAGCCTGGCCCCGCCTTTTCCATCTAGTCTCGCGCGTTGTCGTCGGGATGGAAAGATTTGAAGAGAATACCTTGTCTTCTTTTGAGCTCAGGTCTTCTGATACTCCTGGTTGATTGGCTTATTTTACGTCAGCCGTCACACATCATAAATTGTCACTTTGTCATAAATTATCATTGTCACGTCATAAATTGTCACTTTGGTTTGAACATTATCTATTTAGTTTAGTTTAGTTTAATAGTTTAGTTTAATAGTTTAAAAACAAATATTACATCTCCCAGCGTTAGCCTAGCTACTTGGGAGTATAAGTTCTAAGTTCCAAGCCGATGGGCTGAATTGCATAATATTTTACAATGATATACTAATTTATAAAAGATACATACAGGAGTATAATACATACAGGACTATAATAAATCATTATAATTATATTTACCGGTTCTTTTCACACCCTTTTAACTTCCACACAAGAGAAGAATGAACTCTTTTTCCGAAAACCGACATCAATTGCCAGAAAAAGTTTACATGTAATTTTTTTCATTATTTTCATCTTCCCTGGGTTTCGATAAGGCTTCAATGACTAGTGAAACTTGCCATTTGAGCCCTTCTGGCGTTACTATATAATTCTGGTGTTGTATTTAATTTTGCATTACATTACGTTGTATTGTACTGAATTTTATTGTTTTTGTTTTATTTGTTTGTCAGTTTTTTTTCTATGCTGATGTCCAAAAAATTATCATGACTATTTAGCTTTGCAAAAACGAAGTGTAATATTTTTAACTCTACTCCTGTGGAGTTCAAGCACGCGTGACATCAAAAAAGGAAAAAGCAGAGCCTCTCCCAAACCCCTTATTTAGGAGACGCCTTCTTAAAAGTCAGGTTAGAGGAGACAATTGACGTTCCATACAAATGGAAGGAAACGTTTTCCCTTGCTTTGATCAAATAGACGTACCGATCCGTCAAAAGTGGCACACGCAGAGCACTTCAGAACTTCTTTCATTTCAGTCCTTTAGAGTCCCTAACCTCTGTGTGCAGATGGGCCGGAGCACCTTTACGATATCGCTTCAGAGAATTTGAGCTTCCAGTATCATGCTCCAGACTGACAAACTTTCATTTTAAACAACAAACATATGAAATACATATATATGAACTGCGGTTATGAAATGTATATGTGCACGATCCTTCGCAGTAAAGCACTATTTAAGCAATAGTGAAAATCAGACCTGAAAAAAATTCAGGCCTGTACGGGATTGCTCCCAGTTGGCTTGTTAGCTCAATTAGTAGAGCGCTGCACTAGTATCGCAGAGGTCAGTGGTTCGAATCCCGTACAGGCCTGAATTTTTTTCAGGTCTGATTTTCACTATTGCTTAAATAGTGCTTTACTGCGAAGGATCGTGCACATATACGAAACTTTCATTTTGTTTTTACTGATTCCGAGGATGTTCGAGAAAATTAAGACGTCAATATCATCCTGCAGGGGAAAGTAGAGGCATTATAGGGCCAAAGGATGACCGCCAATACCAGTGTATCAACGGACGGCTGAGAAATGTAAACTCACTGGTATCGCAATGCTGAAAGTTCTCAAGGCGCCATCTAGTTTACACCTCAGTAACCGCACCTAAGTAAGTTCCCAATGGAATACTCATCGCATCTATCGAAGTATCCCTTTGGTGACTTCAGCGACCAATCACCACATTACTTAAAAAAAGGACAAGCATTTAATCTCTCATATCTTCAGTATGAAAAAAGAATTTAGCAACTAATGGTTAATTTTACTCAAAAACGCTTTCGCCATTCTGTTACCTTTGTGTGCTTGTTTTGAAGAATTTTTTGTTCTTTTTCGGTCGTAAGCTGTTCTAGTTTTCCGTTTACAGAATTTCTAATAAAATTATGTTGAGTTTGCACTTTTTAGTAACGGCCGTGACGTGTTCCTTTTTACGTTGGTTTACCATTTCCTTGCAACTGCGTCTTAGAAACTGCTAGTGTTATCATTTTACCCTCTATAATTATCATAATCTGCGTCAAAAAATCCGGCAGAAAGATTGATGAAATTCTGACTATATCTGTCAAAGGCCAAATGAGTTATTCCACTTATATTGACTGACTTCATTCCACGAGCTTAGATAGGCGCGTATTATTGCCATGCCCTACCCAGGATTTAGGATGTAAGACTCAGGGAAAGTGGAGACAGAACAGGTTCATAGTTTATGATAACAAGCAAAATGAAGGGAATTATAGCAAGTTGTCCTTGGCTATTCTATCTAAAAGCAAAGACGTACTAAAGAAGCGCTATCTGTAAATCTTGGTGGAGCGAATCCATGAGTCTCTGACTCCTAGCTGGTTGTTTGAGGTAGTGTGCGCTCGAGTAATCTCCTTCGCAGTGACATGTTCCTTGGGAAGTCAAACAACGCTGCCTACTCTTGCGGCGTATTATGAGATCCTAAAGAGCAGCTGCGAAGGAGACAAGCGCTGGTGCCTTGTCATTCAAAAACTTGCCACGAAGATTGATACTGACGAAAGTAATTCATCTCGGCTGTTAAATTTTAACGCACATGCTTATGAATGTTTTATTGCCCAGTGACATTTTGTCTTACTTAGGTACAAGGTTACAATCTGGGGACTTAAAAGGTAAACAATGTCACTACTTTCAAGAAGTTAAAATTAAAATTAGTAATTAAAATTCCTCTTCTGTCTTCTGACTTTGCCATGGCAATGACCTTTCACTCCTTATGTATATCGTCGTGCTGCTTATCAAAAGCTCTGCAACATTTTGACTAAATATTTCTTTTCGAAGTTAAAATTATTCAAGTAGCATTACTCGAACTTCAGAGTCAGAGAAATTCAAAAGGCCAATATTGTTACGGGCCAATATTAAAAGTTTTCCTAATTAAGTTTGTAAAATGAAATTATAACACTTAATTACCTTTGACAATAGAAGTTAAGAAATCGGCAACAAAGTGCCCCGACTTGAGTTCATGTGCATGGGCTTAAGTCACGATAGATGCCAAAAAAAAAAAGAAAAAGAAAATAGAATAAAAGAAAAGAGAAAGAACTCCAAGAACTATGCAACTTCTAGGATAAAAAAAATTATCTCTTCTAAAACGACGTTGAGTGCAAAGCCCTTGATATTATAATTATTTTTCATTCTAAAACGAAAAAACTCACCTTCACAACAAATCATATAGGACTAACAACGTAATTTGGTAATATCACTCATGTTGAAATTGTAAATTGGCCACCGTAAAGAGTTAAAAAGCTGATGTTTCGAGCATTTGCCCTTATGGTGGCCAATTTACAATTTTAACTTAGTTGATATTACCAAATTACCTTGTTAGACGTACCCCCTACCGACGCAGCACCACAGTTTCTTTAGAAACCTACCTCCTTTATTCATCTAGGGCTAACCTTGGTTTGAAGGCGAGGATTTTTGGAACTCAGAAATGGTTATTTTAGTACATATGCTGCCTCCTGAAATGCCTCATGACTGAATTTTGTTGGTTGACTTATTTCAGACAAGTTTAAACCATGCCTCTTTGCAAAAGGACCAAGTCGTGGGAAGATGAGGAAGTAACTTAACTTGACCCATGCAGGATCACCGACCCCTACCCCACCTAGGGTGGAGCTGTAAAACTTAGGACACCTGGACTTCTATCGGTTTAGTTGCTAATTCATGTATTTTGATCAGCATTCAGCATGCAATTTACGGCGAAACCACAGCAGAGTTCGATCTAGATGTAATTTTTTAGCCGTGCTATAAACTGAAGGACGATTCCAGCATAAGTATACAAAGCCGTTACATTATTTCAGTCTTTACGTAAGAGGTTTGACCCTATTTTTGCACCAAATTTCAAGAAGTACTCATTCGTATAAACTTAATCTTTCGGAGCTAAAAAAATATTCTTGGGAAATCAGAAATGAACGTACTTAGTAGTTTTAATTTCACACTCGTGTATCGTTGGGCTTGCTGTTCCATACCGACTTAGTGTGCTTTCGTAGTCAAGGGTTTGACTAGGGGAAAAAATTCAATATCCACCGAAAACAGTAGGTGATGGGCTCCTGCCGAAACATACAGTTGTGATTTCGACAGAGAAGGAAAGTGTTTTGTGGAAGCGAAACGAGTTTTAAGATTTGGGGGCGAACTGGAGAAGGTTGGGGCGAACTTGTTTTTGTCCTGGAGGGAAAGTAGTGTCTAATGACCGTGGACAGGAACCCTTGTTCGTCTAATGATTTTACTGAGTGATCGGTGATGATGATAAACGTTGCCTAGAGACGGTAAGGAATATGTATTAAGGGTGAATGATGTTACTGGCAAATGTTTAACTAACTGACTGTGAATGATGTTTAATGACGGTAACCGATGCTTAGTGGGCAGGAAGGAAGAAGATGTCTAATGACTGTGAACGATACCTTCTGACGATAAATGAGTAGGCAGGACGGGAAGAAAATGTCTAATGACAGTGCATGAATGATTTCTAATGCACTAAATAATGTTAACTGAAAGTCGAAGCTCTGTTAAAATCAACATCGTGTAATAATAAGGCTTTTGATTTTGTTTCCCAAGAGTGACTTTATGTCGGTATATTGACAAGTTTTCGTTTTGTATCCTAGATGTCAGGTACGTCCTTGTAGCCTCTTTGTTCGATTTTCATTTATTTTGTTTATTATCATAGTAAAATTCCTGTTAAATTTAGGTTATTTCTTGGTATGCTTCAGAAACTTGCTGAAAATCTACCAGCTCGTTGCGGGTTACATATACATCAATGCGAGAAAATGAATCGAAATACCGAGAGATGATTACAGGAATCCTTTATCAGCTTTCGAAGAGATCTCCTTTTTCCTTATTTGACTTAGAAGTGGTCTCGGGCTAGGACTGATGCTTAGCGGCCAAACTTGGTACCAGGACTCTTCGCCAATGCCCCTCATTTGCCTTCTGTCAAAGTTTACTAAAGTTTGAGGGCTTCTCTATGAATTTATTTCCAGGTTTACAGAAACTTTTATGGAGAAAACTTCAGGAGAGGTAGGGAAAATGAAACACACCAGTTTTCTTTTCTCCACGAAGTCGGAACTTTTTCAAGGTAGGTACAATCACGACGGCAATCTTATTCGGTAAAGTTTTTAAGATATTCAACACTCGACATCTGCAGTCTCATTTATTTAGTGCGAGCCGATTATAGCAGCGTCTCTGACTTATTTTGTCTCATATATTGTACTTTTTGCACAAAACCTCTAACGAGCAAAGGCGAGTGCTGGTTTCCTTAATTGGAGGGTTGGAACAGCGTCGATAATTTAGACAGATTCTTCTTCCCTTCCTTTGCATTGACTTTTTATCCCGGTGCGGCCATTAGTTCGCTCAATCAAACTCTTTCACAAGTGCTTTCTGTGACATGACCTCGGCTGATATTGTGTAAACTAACTGAAACTACATTCCTCGGCTTAAGCAATATAGCTCTCTTGATTATCCACTTGAAATATCGTAGCAGATTTTGTTTTATGGGCTCTGGAGGCTGGAGAGTTTTTGTCACCCATTGAGTCGCGTAAATCTTATGCTGAAGTCGGCGATATTACCAGTTGTAAATTTCCACTTATTGAAGCAACTCATTAGCCGCTCGTAATCTCTTCTGAAAACATTGAATGTGAAGTCTTGGCAGCCTGAGAAATACGTTTATTGAGGTGCTCTTGTCGCTAGCTATTTTAAATTGTGCGAGACTCGATATTGAATAGTTTTTCACAGCTTGAAGTAAGAGCGCTCGCATATCAACATTCATCCTTGTAAAGTTAATTATGCATTTGAAATAAACTCCAATTTGACTCTATATAATTTTCCTCTGGTGAATTAATTACTAAATGATTTCCTTTCCGTAATCCGCAGGTAAAAATACGTGTCACGATGAAGTAATTGTGGAATCCTATTGATCTAACGAGGATTATGTCTCAGTATTCTCGAAAAGACGGCTCTGCCAGTAACAGGACTATCCCACATACACGAATTGAGGACGAAAGGCAGATAGAAGACATTTACGAATTTGGAGAAGTGCTTGGAAGAGGGAGTTTTGGAGTTGTCAAAGAAGCGACAAACAAAGCAACGGGCAGTAGATGGGCCATTAAAGCTGTGAACAAGGAAAAGGTATGGCACATTGACACGTTTTATCGCCCTCAATCCAAGTGCAAAATGAATACAGTTCCTCCGATATTATGTTAATGGTTTTGTTTAGTTTCCGGTTGTTCATAATTCGTGATGCAGATTAAAAATCTTAAAGTAAAACCAGCTGATTTAGATAAAGGTCAGAGGTGAATTGTAAAGTTTCCTTGGTTGTAAATATCTTTCTGGCTTCATCATTTAGTGTATCGCTAAGCAAAGTGTTTGTATCCTGGATTTTAATCAAGTTATTTCTTTTACACTGTAACCAATTGTTTAGTTGTTTAGCACTTTTATCTGCTCCTACAGAGGTGGGAAGTTTATCCTTTTCATTTAAAACAAAATTGGAGTCAAACCATGCCCGAGATTTTTTTTGTCGTTTTTTTTTCTTCGTGAAAAATTGAATTTTGAATGCAAACCAATGTTGTTCGAGAAAAATCGTTTACAGTCATTTCACATGCTCTTTACAAGCCTGATTTACTTACTAAAAAAAACAGTTATTTGCACACCCTTTCTAGAATTTTCAGGAATTGTTTTCCAATGGTCCCCAACTGAGTGGATATATTTATGACTTGTGTGAAAACACCACCCCTCTGTGAGATCTAAAAATATGTCTCATTTCAATATTCCAACTTAGAGTATACAATTCTGTTTTGAAACGTTGTTTACATGTATTATAGTCCAACCTCAAAACCTTAGTCATAGTACTGATATTCTACTATTAGAGATTGTGTGCAAAAAGCACATCTTGTATTTGGAGTTGCCTTTATACAAGCGGCCTCAAAACTTTGAAAGTTGGTCAGACAAATATCATTAAACATGCTTTATAGGTGATATGCCTTGACCAATATGAATCCCCTTAGAGAATAGCAAAATAAGGGTTCTGATCCTGTTTCATGCATGAATTTTGGAACAATTTACAAGTCATTGGCACTTTAAACAGTTCTTCATATATCATGAATTTAAGAGGGAAAAACTTCAAATCTCACTTTACCTTCCTTTTCTGTAAAATTCATGCATCACATATTAATTTTGGGCCTAATGACTAATTTTATCATGTCAGGGCTCGACACTTAACTTTTCAACTTACTAGCTAAATGGCTAGTAATGTTACAATAATTTCAGTTTGTTTAGTGGCCAAACTGGCTTGTGGAAATTGAAAACCACTGCCAAAACTGAATTTCTACTAGTCTGTGGCTAGTTGGCTACTGTTAGTGTCAAGCCTTGCATATGTCACATGTAAAACCCTTTGCCACCTTCTTCTCAATATATGCTTTACAGACACATAGAACAATAGTTGTAGTGCCTGTTGAAAGTCGGCTGTAGGTTTGGTTGGATACAGGATTTAGAATAAATTTTAAGACGTGTTGGGAATGAGATAATAAGACAAGTGCAAATCAGAAATAACTAATAGTGGGCATCCATAATCTGATCTTGTATGCTGATTTCAATTGTTTCATTTTTGTTGCATGAAGATTGCTAAATTTAAAGTTGTTGGTTCTTTTTCATCCTTCTGAAAACAGAAATGTCTTGAATTGCCTTTTCAATTATTTTGCATTTTTGAGGATATTTATCAGAACATGGCAGTTCTAAGAGTAAAATACATTGGTCAGATCAATACGTACACCAACCTTTGACATAGAGGGCAGTTTCTCATGCCCAAATTAAAAAAAAAAGAGACCACCTATAATGATACCCCTTTAGCAGTGCATGCATAAACCTTTACATTCAGTATACGTATTCTCCATATTGTTAGTATACATTTCCTATGGTAATAATCAAGAGCTTCTTTAGTTAGTTACCATCTCATTAACCATCGTGTTTAACCAGTAGTGATACTGTTTGGAGATATTAGATACTAGTCACTGTTTAAGGTTGAAGGGTTGACTGGCTTGTTCCTGTTTGATTACACTGTATGGTTATGGCCTATTTGTGCAGTCTTTGGACTTGGTTAGGGTAGTGATAATCAACAGTATTTGTTTTCCACAATAGGCTGGTACTTCTGCTGTAAAACTTTTGGAAAGAGAAGTTCTCATTATGAAAAAAATTGATCATAAGCATTTGGTTCATTTAGAAGAAATATACGAAACATCAAAGGTTAGTAACCTTAGCCTTGGCTTATTTTTTGCAATATGTTGTTTCTAGAAATAAAGAAAATGACTAATTACCTGGGCAAGTGTGAGGTCACAGCAGACCTCAGTATTTCAATTTGTTTAACTATTATATTCTTTCAGTGCATCTGTTGAATTAATGGTGTTCATGTCAGGTCATCATCATTTGATAGATAGGATTGCCAATATGTCTGTTTTTGTTTCAGCGCATGTATTTGGTGATGGAATTGTGTGATGCCGGTGGTGTACAAAAACTTCTAGAGAAAAAGACCCGGCTTACAGAAAAGGTATGAAATATATTTTGTATACTCTTGAGCATTAATTTTGAAACAAAACAAGGGAGCCTCTGTGCTCATTTAGGAGTAGCAATACCTTTTAGATAGCTATACAAGTCTTGAATTGTCATGACACTTATATTTTTTACAAGTACTTGCCAGAATGCATGTTTCTGAAAATGTGTTTTTTCCCACTCAGAGAATTGGTTTATATTTTTTACGGACAGTGTCATTGCTCACAGTACTTGTTTGCAAGAAAATTGATGATTTACCCATCTGGTGAGCTCTGACCACCGAGAAAAAGATGCCATTTTTTAATGTGTGCTCTATAGTTTTGTGTGAGTCATGCGCAACAAGGGTGTGCATTGCAATACTACAGAATGACCAGTGCTTTCAATAAGACCCGGCACCCGCAGGAGCTCCGGCGGGTATTCTGTTGTGAGTCGCTGGGTCTATTTCACCGGGCTCAAGTCACAGTCACCACGCTAAGTTGCAATCAAGTTGCTTTCCAATGGGTGTTGTACCAAGGTAGCCACCTATTTCAAATCTTATTGAAAGCACTGAATGACCTTAACAGATTTTTAGAACTGAGTTTTTTATTTTGAATATCCTTTTTATCTTACAAGGTCACCTGAATGACTGTAATACACAGGGAAACAATTCAGACAATTAGAGCAGTTTTAAAATTGTTATTTAAAACCATTTAACAGGTATTTATCAATTTTCAGGAAACATGGACAGTGATAAACCAGCTTGCTCATGCTGTGGCGTATCTCCATGACTGTGGTAAGTGAAGAAACAAGAGGCCTACATAATGAGATTTCAATTGTCATAATGAGTTTAACTTCTGTCATTTTATTAACACATCCAGAATATTTTAAAGACTTCTATACTAGTAGTCACATGACGAATGACTTGTATCATACAGGGTATACAGAAATACATTGTGTAGTTTTGAGAATTTAGTAATGTCCTAATTGCTTTGAGTGTTTGTTTTGTTTGTTTATGAGACTGGAGTAAATACATAATTATGTGTTATTAACCAAGCGTGAGGTCAAGGTGGCTGGATATTGGCTGAGTTCTTTTTTTGCATTTTTATGGAATGAGACGAAGTTGAGGTCCATAAAAATGCGAAAAAAGAACGAGGCTAATATCCAGCCATCTTGACCGAACAAGCTTAGTTACTAAAGGATTTATTATATTGCTAAAAGATTTTGCTTTATTAAGAATAAAGAATGACTTGTTTACTTCGAGAGCCAGGAAAGAATTAGCCAACTGTGTTTGCAGCACAACAAGCTCACAAGAGTCGTTTCTGTTTTCTTTGTGTTGACTATCTTCTGCCACTTTTTGCATTTCGATCACTGAAATTGTCCAAGAATTAAGAACGTAGCTGTGATTCTATTTTTTTATGCGTGGGATCAATGCAGACAATCTCGAGCAGGCAAGATGGGCCCATCTTGTCTGCTCAGGTAGCCAATCAGAACACAGGATTTGCTTCATCTTTCCCATGGGCGCTGCAAGTGATGTAATAAACTGAGTTATTCTAATTGATAAGCAAGGAAGCTTACTTGTACTCCCAAGACATTCAGACAGGAAGACTTAAAAATGAAGTAGAAAGAGAATTAAATAAAATGTAGATCAATGAGATAGGTCTGTTGTTTATATGGAATGATTAATTTGTTTGGTTGTGTTTTTCTTTTTGAAGACATTGTACATCGAGATTTAAAACTGGAAAATATTCTTCTTAGTCAACCTGTGGGTAATGAGCTGTTAAATATCAAGGTAGGATGAAAAACACTGAAGTTAAAAGTGTATCTACAATTGATCAGGGGTGTCTGTTAGCCCTAAGAGATTAAATAATTCTCCAGCCATTATCTAGAATCCTCCAGCCAGAGTTAAATGGCCTAAGCTGTGTTTCGTTCAGACCTAAAGAATTCTCTTTACCTTAAACTTTTTCTCTGTTACTACATTTCTTAACAGAAATCCTGATTGACAATTCGGTGTCCTTGTCTGTAAATGCAAGACTCAGCCAATGATAATGTCTTTACCCAAACTGGCTACTGAACTGTTTTTAGGCTACATTTTCCCCTAGTTTTTCCTATTAGTTAAATGGTGCATGGTCAAGACTTGAATTATGGTAGCTTGGTAGTTGAATTAAGTCTTGAAGGATTAACCTGGAGAAGGGGACAAACCAGACTTTTATAATTGTTTCACCATGTTGACCTACCTTCTGTGGTACAGTAGGTCTTCTGTGGGGGGAATTTTTGGAACTCAACATAGATTGTGCGGTTTGTAATTTAAACCACTCTACTGCTGATGTAGTATTACAAACCTTGGTTTGAAATTAACATTGTATAGGGTTTGGATTTTTTTTATATTGTAATCTCATTGTTTGTTTCTTTTCTTTTCTTTTTGCAGCTTACTGATTTTGGCCTTTCATTTGTGAAAGGTGGTGTTGGAAGTGATTCAATGATGCAAAGTGTTTGTGGCACTCCAATTTACATGGGTATGCATTATTTTGTTTTCATTTCATGTAAGTTGTAGTTTTGAGTTAATCTCATGTACTGGTGCTATAGTTAAAATGAAATATGAAATATTTTATTTGGTAATTGCAAGAAATAGAAACTTTCTTATTTGGAAGTAAAACAATTTGTTTTGGATGTCACAAGTTTATACATTAAATAAAATTCAAGTACAGATGGTCATAATATGAAAAACAGTTCCTCTTTGTTGTGACTGTAGAGAGAATACACCAACTGAAATGAATGATCCATGCTTGTAATAATTTCAAAACAGTGATTGCATTATTTTTTTTGTTTCAGCTCCAGAGGTGATAGATGATCTTGGCTATAGTCAACAATGTGATATTTGGAGTATAGGTGTTATAATGTATACCCTGTAAGTTCTTTAAATGTTGTGCAAGATGTAACGTTTGTTAAACTTAGGCTTTCTAAATTCCCCATAACTGCATGCAAGACCCAGTATAGAGGACTATGGATATTTCCTGGTGATACACTTTGTAATTATATTTCACTTTTTTATCTTGAAGTCTAACTGGGAGACCACCATTTGTGGCAGAAACTGAAGAAAAGCTTTATGAATTGATAAAGAAAGGTGAAGTGGACTTTTCAGATCCATGCTGGGAAACATGCCATGAATCTGGTAAGATAGTCACTATGTCAATCACTGGATAATCCAGGAGTGAAATCCTAGTAACAGAAACAGCAGTGGCCCCTTTGAGACAGACTGTAAATGGAGTGTTCCAAGACTTTGTCAGTAGATATGTAAATTGTAATGACTGGTACATAACTATTGTTAGAACTGTCCAAAAGGTGCACTGTAGATATGTAGTAAATTATTTCTCAACTTTCCAATTATTTTTTTATTTGGTGTGCATCAGTTATCTCTTCGTATCTGCTTGTGTATTACATGTTTGTTATCACTTATTGGGGGACTTTTTGATTGCAGCAAAAAACCTCCTTCTTGGAATGCTTAAAGTTGATCCAGCTTACAGACGGACAGCAAAAGAAATCTTGAATCACCCCTGGATTACTGTGAGTAACCACAAACTGCTACTCCCAGTAGCTGTAAAGTTGTGTTATATATTAAAGAGCTAGCAGAATACCCTTGTCTTTGATAAGGCCTTAGTCATCAGTTGTTGACTTAAAAATTATGAAGAAAAGCACTTTGATGCAGTTACATATTTGGCTGCATACTGGTGGACATCTCACTTTGCCAAACAACAAAACAAACAATTATGACTTTTAAGACTTCAAAGGACATGCGCTTTCGTGATTGTTATGTATTCCTTTCAGGGTGATTCTGAGGCATCAGAACCATCAAATGTTCTTGAACTAATGAAAATGTACAGGGAAGAGCTCAGACAGGTGAGATCACTTGTGTTCACTGTTTGTATATGTTTTCAAAGAACTTGGTTCTTCCAACTGTAATGTCTTTGTCACTTGTGCGTATACTTTGGGTTATTTTGTGTTTCTAGCATTGATCCCAACAGAATTGGTAAGGTTTGCATAATTACTTGGACAGACTCCCCATTTAATTGGTGACATGCTGTGGACATGAAAGTTGTTTTCTATGTGTATTGTGAAAGGTCAACTTTGCACACCGTACCCCACTGTGCACCTTATTAAAATTTGTAGCTGTTTGTTTTAATTTGCCAAAATTTCTGATTATTTGACACCAGCAATTCTCAACTTTTGTGGGAAAATTTGAATAATCTGTTGTTAGTACAGACAAAAAAGTGAACACACATTTCAATTTACCTGTTTTGCTTTCGACATGCTGCAACCTTATTGAGCCTTCAATTTCTAGCCCACACATTTGTCTTTGGGCCAAATATTGCATGGGAAATAATTTGGCGTGCAAGTTGCAGCGCCGAATTTAAACTTGGTTTGTAATGGTTATTAAATATTTTATAAAACAAGTTTTCTTCCAAATGTTGTTTTTTGAGAAAGTATTTGTCTAGAATAGGCAGGAAAGTGTGTATCAGAGAGAAGCAGCTTATCTTGTCTTTCATCCTTACAGGGCTCTGAAAGTCAAGAAAGTTCAGAGACCAATAATAATATTAATTGTGAAATGGAAGATGGACTGGTGCCATCTCCTGGTTCTTCTTTTGAAAGTCCCAAAGAGGTATGACTGAGACAGTTCTTGTGGGAAAACATTTACAATCTGCCTTTAGTCTCTCCCATTTTTATTGCAAACAGATACTTACAGATAGCATACAGACAGGTAAGAAAAGGTGATATAAAAGGCTTGAACGACCTTCCTTCCCTTCCCAGATCGTATCACTAGCCACAACCTTCATATTAGCCTTTGACAAGTCGTTGAACCTCTGCTTGAAAAGATTATGTTGAAATTTTACAGGAAAATGACAGAAAACAGAGTAATTCTGCAAAGGGTGCCTCTGCACTGAAAAAGTCAGTTCCCTCAAGTAGCAGGAAATTGGTAGGTTGTACCCAAATGATACATATATCTTATTAGACGTTTTGGTGTGTAGTATCGCTGAGTATTTTTATGAGTTGTGCCGTATTTGACGAGCCCTTAGGGCGAGTCAAATTAGAAACAACTAGTCAAAATACTCAGCGATACTACACAACAAAACGTCAAATAGGAGATCTATTATCCAACACGCCAAATTGTTATTTCAGTGCGGGCGAATTTTGCGGATATTTCTGGAGTACAAATATCGCGTGATATTTGTTCTCGTTTCGCGCTTTATCTATTATTATACGAAGCATAGTTGGATGATAATTAAATGTGATTACTGTCCAGCTTGTACTATGTAATTCATGTATAGGAAACTCATTAGAAAATAAACAATCTTAAAATTTCTTTTCCACTGCATTTCTTCTTATTAAAAAAAAACTGGCGATGAGTGATGCATTGCTATAGACAGTGGAGCGGGGGGGTGGGGGCAAGAAGAGGCTGCAGTCCCTGCTAAACCCAAAATGTTAGGAGGCACACCCCCCTGCACAACATTTTAGTACCGATAATGTAGCCTGTGCAGTCATGCTATACTAAATCTGCAAACTTTGACAAGTGAGATGGAAAAAAATTGAATTATGCAGCCATTCAACTGCATTCGTTGTTGTTGTTGTGATTGTTCATGGATAGGTGAATGTAAGGGTATTCTCGACTATTAAACCTGATGAGGCGTAATGAAAAGGTTTGATATTCTAGCATGAAACATTTATCTTTCAATTGACTGTAACTGATTTGTTGATCTACAGTCAAATCAGACTCCACGTCGAGGAAACGCGACCAATCAAATGGGGCCTCCATCACCCAGCCCACGAGATGCCCACAGCCCATCCAGGTCGCGTGACTCTCCTTCTGGTAGTGGCAAGTCAGTACCAGGCTACATGCAGCCCACAAAAAGCTCAGGTGCTACCAAGGGGCCTGGGACTCCACGGACCAGAAAGACATCGGAAAAGAAAAGATGATGTAACGAAGAGGACGATTTATTAGATACTCTATTTTTTTAAGAATCCATAGAGAAAATAATTTTTTGTTCTATTTCAATCAAATTCCACATTGATTGTTCAAATCAAGATAGATAATCTTTGTTGTCAGAGGCCGGGAATTTGACCCGTTGACTCTGTTCGAAAATCGATTTTCTCCTTGGTCATGTCCAGTTATTTTTTAGAATGTCTTTTTCTAGAAATTTGGCCTTTGAAGTGGGAGTTTGGTGTCTCAGGAGATAGATGTGTGTGGCACTTCCTGCTACGCAAGATTGTGCGCGGGAAAATTATGTAGAGCAAAAATTGTGTTCTGCAAGAAGCTACCAAGGAACAAGGCTGATGGGAGGGGAGGGGGCATTTAACAGTGTAGGGCTTTGATGCATTTTACTCGAGTCAAAGTTGGTCAGGTACTTTTCGCCGATCATTTTTCCCATATCTTGGATAAAAATCTAAGTGATCGTTGTATCACTTTTAGTTCCAAAAAATAGTGCATCATATCAGACTTCTCAGACATCAAGAGTTAATTCTTTCATCGCTAAAACAGCATTATTTTTTGTTACTATTTTGTTTTCTTTGTTCCTTATCAGAAGTTTGAGACGCGTTTTTTTCAACGCATCGATTATTTTAGTTAAGTCTTTCTTAGCGACAAAGTTGTTTTGATTTACTAAATTTTTTAGCTCATTTCAGTATTCGTCAGAAAGATAATATAGGCAGGAACAATTCAACCAAGTGTATTTGCCGAGCTGTTACATCACTCAAAAGAACAGTTGCACCTCGCTATCTGAGACCTTCAAAATTTTGTTTTCGAAATTTCTCTCCAAGGAATTGTCGACAACTTTTGTTGACTCCAACAACTTTATGATACTTCGGGATAGTGAGACGAAACTGTTCAAACAGATCACGCCACATGGTGTCATGAGTTGTACCAAAATTTTATAGAAGTTGAACTTTGAAACGAAAACGGGAACGCTTTGGACCCACGATCACCCTTTCACTTGTGTAAGACACTTCATTTGTGGAGTTCGTCGCTACTTTCAAACGGATCGATGTTGAGATGCAAACACAACACAACTGTGGTATGGCCAACTCGTGATAAGCTCGGTGTTTGGGGCGGGTTGGTCTATTTTCGCTGTAGTTACAGACTTAAATATTTATAAATAATTGGTTTTACTGTATTAGGAACTTGAAAGAAGAAACCCAGTTCTTAAACTAATGTACAGAATATTGTTTCAAAGAAGATTCTGTAATTTATAGGAATTCCCATTCGGCTCATTTTACGCAGCCCAGTTTTATTCATTTTTGTCTTTCAATCTCAAATACTTGAAATATTGTAGTGTGAACAATAGCATAATAAACTTCCAGGTCCACAAATTTCATGTGTCATGGCAACGTGAGTCATCTTTTGTAAAACTCATAAAATGAGTGTGATTAAATGTAGCTCGGGTCCGTCAATTTTAACCCGGACGGTTCCATCAGATTTCTAACGCTACCATAATTACGACAAGCCATTTGCGCCAAAAACATCAATCGCCAATTGTATGTTCTTAGATGACACGCGTCTGACATACTGCTAGGATCGGCAATGTCGATAACGTCATGTTTTGTAAATAGAGAAGAATTCCAAAACACCAAGAGGACGACAAAAACAAATGTAAAATTCTGAATGAAAATTTGAAGAAGAAGAACTTGGAGGAACTTCAAGGTAAAACCGCTTTGGCTAATGTTCTGAAGTCAGTCTTTCTTTCAGGCTGTCAAGATTAGTAATATTAAGGGCATCTAAATAACTATGGCATGGATAGATAATATGTAGAGCCCTCTTTTGAATTGTTTCCAGCTTATTAGAAAGAAATTCAGGAATATCTTGCCAGGCTTGCACGCCGTATTCTAATATTGGTCTTATTGTTGCCAGGCAAACCTTAAGAATTCCACCACTATTAACACCAACTCTTTTTAGAATCCTTAGGGAATACAGGCGCTTCGAGACTTTTCTCGAAATGTAATCAATATGCTCACTCCACTTTAAATCGTTACTGATAATAATACCGAGTAATTTATAAGTTGTCACATGTTCAACTGTGTCGTTACCTAGGACAACTGGTCTTTTAGTAAAATTATCATTTCATGAAGTTAATTAACATTTCTTTACACTTTTTCGGATTTAATTTCATAGTGTTCTATGGAAAACTTGTGGATGTCATTGGCAGCTACATTTAGTAAGCTAATACCATTCCTTGGTAGAATTTCCAATGCCGTGGTATCATCAACGAATTTAATTTTCAAATGCCAGTCACACAAAAGATTGTTGGTCATCACAGCGAACAAAATCACACCCAGTTTCGTCCCTTGCAAGGGATGCCTCCCTTGGGTGATTTCCAATCAGACAGAGAGTTCCCAATCCTTACAGCTTGCGATCTCTCAGTCAAGAAGGCCCTAATCCAGTTAATTAACACAGTATCTATATCGAAAAATGCCAACTCCCTGAGAAGAATAGAATGATCAATCAAGTCAAAGCCCTTTGAGTAATCAGCAAAGAACATTCTAACTCCACAGTTCCAGCTATCTGTTGCCTCGTGTATCGCCTGTAGGATATAAATCAAGGCGTCCGTGGTGGAGTGCCCCTCCCTTGCGTACTGGTGTGGGTCAAGTTTTTCCGAGATTTGCGCTACAAGTCTGCTGCGCGCAAACCCTTCCATGACTTTGGCAAGGGTGCAGGTCAAGGAGATAGGTCTCAAATCCGTTTGGATTTCTTGTGGCGGGGAAACCTTGGGCAGGGGGTTGATTATGGATTGCTTCAGCAGATCAGGTACATAGCCCTCCCTGAGTGAGCAGTTATAAATGTACATAATTAGCGGGGCGAGTTCAGGTGTGAATTCTTTTAAGACCCTGTTAGGTATCATGTCAGGGCCAATAGTCCATTTTACAGTTACATGCTTGGTTGCCAAGCCTTTGAATGTGCTTGGTTGCCAATCAAAGGCTTGGCAACCAAGCACAGAACTGTAAAATGGCCTATTGCTTTCCGATATTTAGGCTTGATAAAAAGCCCTGCACCTCCCTGACACTCACTAGAAGGCCGGGGGGACCAGTTGATTGGTTACTTCGGTTGGGGTCAAGTGGATAAAATCTAATGTCAGACTGATAAAGTGGTCGTTCACCACACTAGCTAAGGCCTTAGTGTCTGGACAGTTTTCTCCTAGGAATTGATGGAACCATTCCTGTTGTATATCCTGACCTGTCAATAACTTGATTTGTTTCAACCATTTTTTTAGGTCCGTCTGCCCAGGATCACTTACTTTATGACGGTAATAGTGGTATTTTGCCAACCTTATTTCCCATTGGACTTTATTTCTCAAACGCCTATAGGAGGCGGAGTCTTTTCCGTCACGGGTGAATGCAGTTTGCCGCTTTTTAATCAGCATCTTGATTCCCTTCGTTGTCTAAGGTCTATCAGTTGGATGAATTCTAACTGTTTTCCAGGGAAGGTAGATGTCGACTGCATTTTGTAGCTCGGTAATGAAGATGTGAAACTTATGTTTGCATGACTCTGTCGAAAACAACTGCGACCAGTTTTTGTTAGTCAGCCAACGTCCGAACGCGCGCCACGCGCTGTCCCGTAAATCGCGCACTGTTACCTTTTGGATTACATGTGGATGCGTGCTAGTCGGTTATTGGTTTTTCTAAAATCGTAAAATGATCACTCCTCGCTATCTTTGGTAGTTGAGACAATTGAAAAATGGCGGGTCTATTCGTAAGAAACCAGTCAAGGGTTCTTGTATCTCTGGTCTTAAATTTTACCATTTGTTTAAGATTGTTTGACTGTGTCAAGTCCTTTGGTTTGAGACCCGTCGAAGGAGAGTTAAAATCCCCGGTAATCACCACCAGTGCATTAGCTTGTTTCATAAGTGGGCTGTCCAAAGTTGATCGAATATGGTTGGACAGAACACCGTTCGCGGGTTGTCCATTAGCTGTTGAATGGTAAACGATACAAAGAATTATTGACGAGATCCGGATCTAGGAATGCTATGAGGCCTCAAGGAAAGCCACAGAGACTCCATATCCGGTTTCTCACATTGAGATAATCGGGTGCACGGAATGGTTTCTCTTAAATAAATGCAGACCCCTCCATCATGCGTAAATGAACGATCATTCCTAAAAGGGTTGTACTCCGGTATAGCCACCGCAGAGTCTGTAATCTGCGGTGACAGCCAAGACTGAGGTACAAACAGCATCGACATCCTTACATTCGGCGACGTATTGCAACTCATCAACCTTATTTTTTAGAGATCGTAGATTCGCAGTTAAGATGACAGGGATCCTATAGGTCTTCTGATAGGGAATCCTTTCCAGGACAGATCTGTCGATGGTCCCGTGAGTAGGCCTTTTGTTGTCATTTTCAGATCTGTCGATGGTCCCGTGAGTAGGCCTTTTGTTGTCATTTTCAGATCTGTCGATGGTCCCGTGAGTAGGCCTTTTGTTGTCATTTTCAGTGAAGTGTGAAGTAATTCTTGAAGGTATCTGGCAAAGATTGTAATGTCGCTTTTAAATTTGTCTTCCAGCTCGAACACCTCGTTTCCGTCGCGCTATTCTCAAGTCAGAAAGGTAGTTCTTAACATCCCGGGGCATCACTGATGCACATCACTTCATGAAGAATAAACAAGCAGTTCTGTATTTTGGGAATTTGCATAACCGCATGCAGATGGAAATATGCGGTTTTGATTTCTCCGTAGGCGTACTTCAGAATTAGGAGTCACATCTCCTGGGTTAGGTTCCTCATCTATACAAATAGTCAAATCCCTAGGAAAATCCAATTCTGTTCTGTGTAGAAGCAGAAGACCGTGCCTAAGCCATTTTGAACGGCATCTTCTGGACCTCGGCTGGCTTGAGTAGATCTTGTGATGAAAGCTAGCGACGAAGAAAACCGAAGCTTGCAACTTCCTTGGAATAACTCGTTCCTTGGAGATAGCAGTTTCGCTATAACTGATCAAGGTCCCATTAGAAATAATTTGGGAACCATTAAATAGCAAATATGTAACGATATGATAAGATAAAAGATAAAATATAGGGAGCTTAAAAGTCGCGGTCGCCGTGCTGGCGCTCCCAAGAGACTCTCGGCTATACAGGGGTACACACAGCCATACACAGCTATACAGGGCTATAAACAGCTATACGGGGCTATACACAGTTATACAGGGTTCTACAGAGCTATANCTGTATTTTGGGAATTTGCATAACCGCATGCAGATGGAAATATGCGGTTTTGATTTCTCCGTAGGCGTACTTCAGAATTAGGAGTCACATCTCCTGGGTTAGGTTCCTCATCTATACAAATAGTCAAATCCCTAGGAAAATCCAATTCTGTTCTGTGTAGAAGCAGAAGACCGTGCCTAAGCCATTTTGAACGGCATCTTCTGGACCTCGGCTGGCTTGAGTAGATCTTGTGATGAAAGCTAGCGACGAAGAAAACCGAAGCTTGCAACTTCCTTGGAATAACTCGTTCCTTGGAGATAGCAGTTTCGCTATAACTGATCAAGGTCCCATTAGAAATAATTTGGGAACCATTAAATAGCAAATATGTAACGATATGATAAGATAAAAGATAAAATATAGGGAGCTTAAAAGTCGCGGTCGCCGTGCTGGCGCTCCCAAGAGACTCTCGGCTATACAGGGGTACACACAGCCATACACAGCTATACAGGGCTATAAACAGCTATACGGGGCTATACACAGTTATACAGGGTTCTACAGAGCTATACAGAACTATACAGAGCGATACAGAGCTATACAGAGCTATACATAGCTATACACAGCTATTCACAGTTATACAGCGCTATTCACAGTTATACAGCGATATACACAGCTAGCAGAGTTGTACACAGCTATACAGGGCTATATACAGCTATACACTGTATAGCTGTATATATATTGGGGAGCAGGGATGGCGCAGTGGTGAGAGCACTCGCCTCCCACCACTGTGGCCCGGGTTCGATTCCCGGACCTGGCGTCTCATGTGGGTTGAGTTTGTTGTTGGTTCTCGTCCTTGCTCCGAGGGTTTTTCTCCGGGTCCTCCGGTTTTCCTCCCTCCGCAAAAACCAACATTCCAAATTCCAATTCGATCTGGAACAGTGGACAAGAATAGCCACCCAGTGGATGTCCATTGTTAAATCATTTATTTATTTATTTACACTAATATACACTGCAATACATACACAGCTATACACAGGAGCTACACAGCTATGAGGAGGCGGCGTGGTCGAGTGGTTAGGGTGCTGGACTTGTAATCCGGTGCCCCGGGTTCAAGTCTTCCACCTTGCCACTTACTGGATTTGTCCTCGGTTGCCCCTAGTTCAACTCCTCGGCTGCGCTCTGTAAATAGC